GGCTTAGTGGACCATGTTGCCGTCAATCATTCGTCCCTCTTTCGGTGGCGTCCCACATGTAGATTAAGTATAGAATCCGCAGAAAGATATTATAGTGAGCTACCAAAAGCACAGAGTTAGCTATTCTCATTTGGAATATGTACATTACCACAAGCGAATGGATTTCAAAGGGACTATAAGGTTCGGCTATGAACGTTTTTCTCGCGAGAATCAACGAAAGTGGAACAGCAAAACTGATTTTCAAAGAGTAGCTCACTAACCAGTATGCGTCAAAATGTGTGCTCTGAGGTTACTCCGATCGGCAAAGTTCTTTCCACAGTGAGCGCATCCGAATGGGCGTTGACCGGTATGAGAACGGAGGTGACCCTGGAATATAAGTTGCTTTTCGATCTCATTTGACTACCCATTAGTTTATTTGTTTTTTCACAATCTGTACAGAATGTCTCAGGAATTGCTTGAGTGCTTCTACCGCTCCCTTCTTACTCTCCTGACGTGGTCGTGTCTAACCACAACTTGTTTTGGGCACAGAAATTGCATCCAGAGGATTAAAAGTCAACGGAAAAAAGCGTTGGACATATGTGGTGGATGACGACGTTCATTGCACGAATGTTAAGTTATGGCTAAAGTCTGGATCCCAGGCGGGACTTCAATCTGCACCTTATGAATGCGCTGTCGTTGTGCCACCAGGAGCTCATAGTAAAGCAACTACACCAACAATGGTCAATCATTTTTTCTGGTTGAAAATCAGCGAACAACAAAATTATAGCTCATAATATGGGAAGTAGTGCATTGGGAATCGTAAGTTCTTCAGACCACTCCATTCAGATAATCTAACGCACTCCAGTAGCCCAGAGTAACTTTTAAAGGAACGGTCCGCGATGACCTATGAAAATGCAAGAGGTTATGTGGGAAGGTAGTGCGGTCCGGAGTGGACAACCCTGTGCCAGTTTCGCGGCGGAAAGTTGTACGGTAAAGGAATTAAGGCGCAAAGTTGCTTCAGTGGTACATCCCTTTTTCCAGTGACTCCGCCTCCAGACTCCGCCTCCAAAGTCGGCCTTCCAGCCAAAAGTAGTGCTGCCGGTACCATGAAATGGATGCATTCAATGTCTCTTGTAGAGTCATAGGGTTCATTACTGGGAATCAGCCGACGGGAATCGTCCCAGCGCGCGGTCTTTTCGGTCTTTTACCTCTACAGTTGTTTGAGGCTAGAGGAGGTCTGACGATTCTCTGACGAATGCGTTTCCAAGTTCCTTTGGCATTTTCTCTTCATAGACGGTTTTGGCGAATTTTCTTCCACCTTTCTGCAACATCACCTAGGGTTTTATCGCGAACCGTGCCTTTACAGGATTTCACGCGTATCTCTTGGTGGATTTCATTTATTTTTTAGCATTGAATGGACGTAATTGGCATATGTTAGTTGTGGGTCATAAGGGCAATTAAACCAGAGCCTATGGAGCTCCTTCTTTCTACAGCTTAACTCAAGCACGATAAGAAGTCCTTCTTTTGAAAGTGTGAGCAGAAACATTTTGAGTCAAGGATTTTCAAATAAATATGATATCGTACCTGGAGTAGCCATAACCGTGAAAAGACTTTTCCACACATGTTGCATTTATGACTGGCCTTGTGAGTCAGGATGTGCATGCTGCAATAGATATAGATTCGATTTTTGGTGTTTTTATGTTGCGTCTACTTGATATCGTCGAAATCAGTCGGGGGGGGGTGTCATGAGGAACGGAATGAACCCGCCTCCGGCTGCCTTTCTATAGCAAAAGTGATCGCTTAGTGATTGATTTGGAAAGAAATCAACCATTGATGAGAAAGCCACTGGTGGGCTCACTCCATTTCTCTTGACACCGCTCCGACAACGTAACAGCGAGGATATCAACTGTACTTGAAGCACTGGCTAGGGCGGGACTTCTAGGCATACAATCCTCATCGAATCAGATAGCTTTGTATCAGTATTAGTATTTATTACACAACGAAATTGTTGTGTGTACAAGACTTTCATCAGGCCAATTGTAGAATACGGCACTCCCGTGTTTAATCCCTATAAGGTCAAAATTATTAACGCATTGGAGATAGCTTTGTGCTACTCAACGTAAACCTTTGTTGGAGTTCCGCATGGCATGAGGAATGGTTCACTCGTTCTCTTATTCGTTTATTCACGTGTTCTCTTTC